CCCCTCGCCGAGACTCAACTGCCTCCACCCGTTACTTCGAGACATGAACATAGTTCGCCGGCTGTGACGTGGTACAGGACTATTGTCCTCACTTCCACCATTTGCTTCGGGACTTGGAAGATGGTGGCGACCATTCAGAATGCAGCCGCCGCATCGATCGCTTTGGACTACTTAACAGGCGTAGTATTGGCAGCTGCGTGAGTGTGTGCTTTGTTATCATGCTAGTCGTCTACTGATTTCCCTTGGCAGCTTGTATGTACTAGGAGAGTGCAAAAATCTACCGTCCCTCCGCTGGCTATTTTGCCATAACGTCATCTCGGACGTGCGATGCCTTCCAATTTACGGGGTCAGAGCCGTAGTGACCAGTGAGTATACATCACTTCTGCTCCATAGATCTCCCCCAGTGACAACTCCACGCTCAGCGCGGCGGGTTTTTAATCGTAGGCTCAGGCCTTCCGCAGCCGGAATACTCGTCACGGTATTGCACACGCGTTGCGAAGGGCGTGAAATGGCGTTCAGTGAAGCTGGAACAACGAGTGGTTTGTCGATACTCACTCTGGTACGTGATAGTATGAGAGACCAAATTATCCCACTCACATTGCAGCGAAGGAACCATTTCCAGAGCTACCAGCTGAGATTGTCAACATGATAATTCGCATCGCCATTGAGACATTTGTTGAGGAGTACGTAGAGCAGTCTCTGGCTGCGCCCCTCTACTCCGAAGATGGCTGGGTAAGCGTGCATATCAGCTCTTGAAGATTGCACATGAGCTGATTGATCACCCGAAGGATGAAATTTCGTTCAAACAGCAGAATCCAGTAGTGCCTCTTCTGGAGGTCAACTACTGGGTCAGAGAAGCGACACTGTCATTCACCGCAATTGTACTATCCATACCCGCTGTTCATAATTCCCACCTCAGCAGGTAAGCACCCATCAAATCCAAGGAGTTCAAATTTTGACAAGTGTTCAGCCTGTCTGTACGTCCATGGACCAGGATCGAACAGATCCGCTCACTGGGTCGCACTACTGTTGAATCGGGCACATGGCGGGAGGCGCTAGACGAGCTTGCGCCGTCCCCACTTGCCCACGCTTACGCTGCCTTGTACATAGCGCAGCGCAAAGCCGACTTGGCGATCTGTCTCTGTAAGGAACTTGTAGAGCTGGAAGACGACATGGAATGTGCTCTCTTGGTTCCTTCAGGGGAAGTGGTCGCGGAATGTCCGATGCTGCGTTTTTGTCAGACGTCACGTTTCTGTCAGGACCACATAGACGAGGTGAACTTTCTCGTCGACGTCGCCAAGCAAGCCTCGCTGCAGTTTCCCAGTATGAAGCTACTTTCAGTGCTCTGCGAACTTGACATTGTTCCGGGGAGCATTTCTGCAAGAGCTCGTACAGCGTCTCTTTCGCTTCACACTTCCGACTCGCAGAAAGCGGTCGTACTGGATCACCTCATATTGCACATCAGAGGTAGCAGAGGGGACGAGGACATCCTGCTTCGAGTAAGTCCCTCTCCACTGTTTGATGCACTAGCGACTAACGCGCAATAGTCATTAACGGCGTTACGGGCTTTCATGACAGAGATAGGAAAGTCTGTTATCTCTGGCTTGGATACCATCACTTCTACATCTCCATGGCACTATCTGGACGGCAACATTGTATGTATTCCTTCTTCAAGTGCTTTTCTGTGTACTGACTACTGAGCCAGCGCGACAAGCTTCGCCAGTCTTTGTTGAATTTCATGGAATACAAGCTGCCCGACATCGATGATCTATCTGTGCTCGAGCTACACTCAGCAGCAATAACCGGAGCAAGCGATTTACTTGAATCATTTCATCCGTACACCTGGGACTAAGAGAGCTGGAGAGTGTAGCAGAGAAATTCTGGTGAAGTTGTTCGGTCAGTAGCAGTGAACTTGGTCCCTTGTCCAAGGAAACGTGACCAAGTTTGTGGCCTGTCTGATCCTTTCTATCATATTGAGCTTGAGGGGTAGGTCAAATTGATCTTTCTCTTGAGCTCCTGTTCCTGAATAGGATACAACGAATGATCGTAAAATATGTTCTTAGTACCAACAGTCTCTATTGGCGATCAGCGCGAGACATTGCAATCTCTTGTTATACTTGCTATCCTTGAGTTACACGTCACTTCGAAGTTGTACGACATGACCGCTAAATAAATAGCATGACCTGGTATATATCCTATATTATCAACACTAGTCCACGGCCGAACTGTCTCGCCGCAACACCTCCTATGCATTCGTCTCTCAGAATTTAAACCGCAAAAAAAATACGTCGATACTACGAGGTTTGTTGCACTTGGTTATCTCCTGTGTGGAGGTAAATATTGAGTGAGCCCGCAAGGACGGATAAAATACGTGAAACCATTATCACAAGGGGTTCAGAGATGGTAGCTGTGACTCAAGGAAGTAATCCTGTCCCCAGCGTCTGCGATATCTATCACTCGGCTTGTGCCGGACGCCACAAAGACGAGGGGCCCTGTGCTGGTCTCAGTCCTCCCTCAACATGTTCTCCGCCAGCACATTACATCCATATCTGGCTATAATTACAAGATTTCTTCGCATTTACGGCTCCTGTAAATGCATTCTGAGACATAGCCGAAATGGATACTGATCAGCGACAATTCCCTATCCCACCCAGGCTGCTGACGTAAATGTTCAAGTTCTCGTTCTAACTTCCAACAATCGAAGAATTCGCTCCCCACAGACGTCTTTCCACGGTTAAAAACTATAAAGTACGTCCCTTGAAGTGATCTCGTGGTGAAATAGCTGCAGATACGCTGCAGATGGGCAAAACGATGCATCTGCATACACTGCACTGTTTCTATGGCCGCGCTGATTCTCGCATGCCGAAAAAAAGCGCAATTAAATGAGAGCTGATACTTGCTGTTACGGCACCTACCTATTATTTCTCCGTACTTTAGCAAAGCCAGCCAGCCAACCTTTCTCTGCTCGTTCGGTGACTCAACGTTCCGAAACAAGTCTCCGCTGCCGACCCGCGTCGGAGTGTCGACATGAAGACTTGATAGGGGTATTATCGCTGACGCGGCAGCAGGTCGAAGCCCCACGGAGGCTTCTTTCTCCTTTACTTGACAGCTGCGATAATGGGGAGCACAGCATCGTACGCACGGGTGTGCCTTGACCACGCGGGCATCGGCGCGTAGCAATGGCCCGGAACCAGCGCTCCGCCCGAGTTGCGCCTATCACGTACATCACGGAGCAATGTTTCAGTTTGCAGATCTTTTGCATTGAAGATCGCATGCTAACGCCTTGTATTTCACGCTCTAGTCTTGAAAAGTCGTTCTCCGGGTATTCCAATTAGTCACGTTTCCCAGGGTGGACCGCCTGGGGAAGTATGTAAACTACCCCTGCGAAGTTTAGGACGACGTTGCTCCCGACCATGTCGTCTTCAGATGCATTGGACCCCTCCGTCATATCGCAATTGTCTGTATTTTTTTCATGACCTGTCTTAGTCAGAGCGCCCTGATGCTTTCACTTAGTGTCACCTCCGAGTATGTACAGACTGGAGCAGCAGGTATGTGATCTACACTCACCCAGATCTGTCCCCGCTACTGACAGCCGCGTCATAGCACTCGTATGCTACGAGTACATGATCACTATTACGGATGAGATCAGCTCTGTGTGGCTGCAGAAGTTCTCGCCGGTGTCGTTACTGCTCGTGTCGACAAGATGGGCCATTCTCATCGAGACAATCTTGCAGCTGATTCCGGCTACTGCGGA